GAAAGAATAAACCAGTTTTATTTAAGAAAGGACTCGTATCGGTAAAGTTTCTTCAGGAAGAAATTATACGGAAAATTAACTAACGAACGGAGGCGTAACATTATTCTTTCAACTTCAACGAGCTATACGTGTTGACTTGGACCTTTTTTAAGAAAAATAAATAGAACTTCCGAATTTCATCGGGCAAGACTTCTAGTACTATAGTCAGTTTTTTTCTGTTAGTATTAAATATGATTACGAATCACACATAAATATGGGGGTAGCGTGTAGTGACAGTAGTCAAAGAATCTACAAAATTATATCACATAACTGAAGTGCATTCCATAGTTCCTCCAGTAGCACAGCGTTAAGTATGTAGGCTTATAACGCTAGAAACCGGATTTCTACCCCGTGGTAGGCAAAGCACAGATATCCCTTGTGCAGTTTTGTACTTAACACCAAACTAACGAAAAGCATGCTATGATTTTTCAAGACTTCCACAAGCTTAAATCTCTCAGGCATAGACATAATATGGCGATGAAGGAACTATTTGTTCTTTAAATACCTCTATGCAGCATTTAAATGTAACATTATTCATTAGGTTTGACTTCATGAAGCCCAATTAAATATTTCTAGGATGATGCAAAACTTTGACCGTAGTTGTATACTGTTAATTTGTGATATATTATGCTTTCAAATGAAATCGTTTGGCTTTTCGATTGTTGAGCATCCATTCATAGCTGAAAGTATCTCAGCAAATTTCAGTCAGTCATTTTTCGGGGCTCGAAAGAGACAATTACAACTCTATCAAAAGGTTAATTGACTGGATTAATAAACTCATTTGACTTTTATACCATTCACAGCGCTGTTAGATAACATTTAAAAGAAATACTGAATGTAGCAGAGAAACTGTAGCAGGGGAGACGTTGTTAGGTGCTTAAATGATTCGGGCCCATAGGTGCGGGAATTTTCAGTGTTTCAGTATGATATTTATCATAGTTTTCTATTCTGATCTTTCAAGACACCAACTGAAGAGCCTCCCAGTGGCGTAGCGGTATGTTTTCAGACTTACAACGCTAGAATCCAGGTTTCGATTCCCGTGGTGGGCAGAGCACAGATAGCCCATTGTGTAGCTTTGTGCTTAACTTCAAACAAACAAACAAACAAACAAACTAACTGAAGATTCGGGACACTGTGATATAGAATTGGGGTACGGGCCCCGTGAGCCAGCGCCTGGCAACACCTCTGTGCAACAGCAACTTTTAGTGATAAGTATGCTGGGTACCTAAGATGGTTCATGACTTACTTGCACCATAGAAACACTTAATATTTTAGTCAATTTAACTCTTAAATAATTTATTCAAATTATAGTTATATTTAGTTAATAGTTATATGGAATGTATAACCAATTTATCAGACTAAAAGATACGTTACTTTTGTTATTATACCAATTGATACTGTGATTGTTAAACACAGAATAAAAAGATTTTGTTTCTAATATCTGCGTAACACTGCGCAAGGGTGGTATGCGCTACCCATCTCTAATTTTGAACAAAGTAACTAATCCACAGCATCCACCACAGTTCTTGGGCTGCTCTAAACAGCCGCAAAGTTGGGAGTGCAATTTTGCGGCAATGGGACTCGAACCATGGACCCAGGATTCACAATTCAGCATGCTAACGACCAGCCCACGCCTTGTCTGCATAAATATCGACTTAACCCGATACTCTCCGGGGCCATTTTGTCTTATTGGGAGGGCAAAATC